AGGTTGGTGGCGTTTTTGAATACAATCTGAATCGTAGTCGATGTGTGAAACTCGTTCCTCATAACGGAACGAAACGCATATGAATGATTTTTTTAAATACAACGTGCTTAATGATTTTATAAATCTTTAAATTTCTTACTATCCATTCCGTACAAATCTCTTAATATCCACTTCTTACTTCAGAGGTTGAAACAACTAAATAAGTTTGATAATTCTCAACGCCAATGCGTATTTTCTTCAAAATCGATGATGTGCGCTATTCATCTGAACGTGCACAATTGAGAACCGAACCGACTTGAAACGAAACTTTTCTAAATCAATCTTTAAATCTACGTTGAATAATGTTAAGACGCGTAGCAATAAAAGCCGAAAAATACAGTCGATCAATGTTACACATTGAAGCAAGAGTAATGAGGATAAGTGCGAGTCGGGGATGTAAACATTTATGTCGATTGTTTGACTATGTTAGTTGCTTTTTATTCACAATACACGATGATCGGTTCATTTTCTCATCTCATACGTTCTAAAATATGCATCTATCCTCTCACATATCACTCATGAACAATTAAGAGATCTCCGCAAATCAGCTGGAACTTAAAAGATAAAATGACCACATGAAATGATCATGAAAACGGAAAATCTGTAGTGTTATTGGAAAAATCCAGAAGTAAAACACATGATTAGGTACTTCAATAACTGAAACAAAAACCTTCATTCTTAAGGATGAAAACATTTTCCATCGCAGAACAACAATTCAAATGTGTGACAAAATTTGAAGGGAATTGTAAAGCCAGATTATGTATTTATCGTGATAACACTGCTCGGTAAAGATATTCATAAATTGAGTAAAGAACAATACGGAAGACGATTTTCATTGAGTACATCTCTTCGAGTTGGAACTGAATGCTTATTCGCTATTGAGGAGCTTCATGGGTGAGCTTATAATTATTTACTTTACATACATTATTTCTGAAACAATTGCTTTTTTTACTTTTCAAGCAATTGCACCTCACTCCGATAAAATTGCACCATTCCCATTAACTTAATCTTGACGAACTTTGCGAAAAATATCAATAGGCGAAATATTTGCACTGGCTTCCGTCCTCCAATAACGAATTAAAATGCATTAAATAATCTAACATATGACAAAATCTTGAATGTGCATCAGTAATCAATTCTAGTGTTTGCAGTTGTGGTTATATTTCAAGAGATATAAAACCTGGTAATTTTGCTGTTGGATTACGTGAATATCATCAACATAAAACAATATTTTTACTTGATTTTGGCCTTGCGAAGAAATATCTCGATAAAGTAATAACGTTTTGTTGAATAATAATTCCTCACATAGTAATATAAGATTTTCGGTAGGAATCAACCCACTGAATAGCATTATGATAACATAAAACTTCAATATTTTGTGAGATTTCGTTGCAATTAAATGAACTATTGTGCTGTGATAAGAGAGAAGTTAAGTTGTAGACTAAACTTATGAGTTCAGAAAGGTAGTCATTATCCATCAAGAGGTGAAGTCGGCTGGAGGGGGACGAATCGTTATGGCTCACTGAGAGCACATCAAAGACTTGATCTGGGCAGACGCGACGATTTGGAGTCATGGTTTTACCTTCTCGTTGAAATTACTTGTGGTACTCTACCTTGGCGACATGTCATCGGTTAATTCCTTTCAAATTTACTTTCGAATTTTATATGCGCGTACGCAGAGTGATAAAATGTGACTGGACTTAATTCGACTGGTAACACTGCCATGGATATATACTGAATAAATAAATCAGTTAATAAAGGCAATTCTTGTCACAATGAAAGAATGATATTGAGAAAATCTCTTCTCTTGTCTCACTGTAACCAAATAAACATTTTCATAAGCAACAAAAAGTTGGATTTCGT